AATATGGGTTATATGGGGATCTTAGAGGATCCAGGAGTCGATTAGGGTTTAGGGTTTAGGGTTTAGGCTTGAAACAAAGTAAAGTTTCCCGACAACTATTCAGTACCCAGGAATAGATCAAGAGTGCAGAAGCAAGTAGAGGTCCTGCTTGCTACTATGTCTGGGGAAGGCTTATGGTGAGGCCGCAAAACTACTGGTTCTTTAGGCCAGGCCTTGGTACGAAGCCAGGGCTCTGACACCTTTGCAATCTGGAATTTCATGCCACCACAACTAACCCGTTTTTGAATGAACCGCTCTGTCCATCGTAACGGAATGCCCCGTAAGCCTTAAACCCTGAAACGTAAACCCTAAACCTCCGGGGTAATTAGTCCAGCAGGCCCCTGAAGGCCAATGATATCAAGCATTTGGCAGGGGGCTCATCTATGATCGTTCATGTGAAGATCTAAGGTTTTAGGGTTTACGGCTTCGGGTCTGGGATTTGACAGGGCTCATTTATGTAAAGGCTCTTTGCTTAGCCAACCGTGAGACCAGGAAACGATCGGTTTCACACAATTGGCGTTCAAAGATAAAGGCCGAGATCTATTACCAAGGACCCAGCGCTTCCTAGTCTCTACGATGCTGAGCCGACCTAAACTGAACGTTGCTCCCTTCCCTACTTCCCTTCCGAACTTCCTCTTCAATTTGAATAGGAGCCGAAGGGTCCCCCTTTTACCTTTACCAGGAACGGGAGGATACCCAAAGACCTCCCAATTGGTCTCGGTGGGGTTTTTGACTGTTATGAATGGTCTGCATTTTGTTGGGGGGGGGGGCTGGCCTGAAACCAGGGTCCAACACTACAGAATCTTTACTTCAGCTTTCAAGCGCTCGGGGGCGCCCGAAACCCTAAACGAGTAAGAGGTCCTTCTTCATCCCAACACCAATATACCCAAGATTCCATTATAAGAGTCATATGAGCTATAGTCTAAACTCCTAGTACCCCCCTGAATATCCCCTATAGTAGTCCCCTATATAATCCCCATATAATCCCCCTTTAAGGAGTTTAGACTATAGCTCATATGACTTGGTCTTTGGGGTTGGGTTAGCAAAAACTCCTTTTACAAACCGTGCAGCTTGTTATTTGGAGTGCCGGCTGCAGAGTAGAACGGTGCTGTTGTTTAGCAAGGGCCAACGAGTCTTGCCAATATGAACTGTAGTATAAACTCCTTAAAGGGGGTTATATAGGGGACTACTATAGGGATTATTAAGGGGGATGCTAGGAGTTTAGACTATGGCTCATCTGGCTTAGGGTTTAGGGTTTAGGGTGCGGCTGAACTTTCAAGTCGACTTACACTGTGAATCTGTTACTAAAGAATCGCCCAAAACACTCCTTTTGTGATTTTGGCTACGAAGGGGGGCCTCTGCAAGAATTACTGAACCAGAGTGTGGAGGTAGGACCAAGTACAGGTCATTGTGCTAGTCGTCCAAGTAGAAGAAAATCTGTTGAAAGCATGATATTCTCGGGTGCGGAAAAAATTTTGCCACCCGATGATTATCGAACTTGCCTATAGCTTTTCGGACTTCGAACTTGTTAGAAGACACAAATAGCATTCCGATTTTTCGAGCCTGGAAGGTCTACTTCAGCTGTAGGGGCTGAGGGCTTTATCTGCGAGTGTAAGCTTTTGTCACCTTTCGTTGTGGCAACGTGAGGATAATCGCCAACGCGAATATGTTGACTGCTTTGCCTCCCCTGCAGTCAGTACCTGGGCAAAAATCTCCGTACTCCATGCAGTACTTGAGCGGCTTGTCTTGCTTGTGCAGGCCTTCTGTTATTCTTTCATCCGAAGCACCCTTCGCCAAATGTCCTAGGCGGACTATCTTTCTTGTGCCAGTAGTATGAGGAGGAGGAGGAGTGTCAGTAGGAGTAGGCTTTATGATGTTACCAGCACGAGCAATAGCCATTGTAGTCGTAATTGTCATGGTAGTACCAATATCAGCGGCAAACGGTCATCAACAGCAGGCATGACCCTGACTATATTGTTTGGGGGAAATCTGGTAATCGAGCATTCCAAGGTCATGCATAATTGTCAGTATCAACAGCACTCGTACGCATAATGGTAGCACTAGAGATACTCTCTGTACTGTTCTGGTCTGCCGTGATTCTGAAATTCAGTCTGCACGTGCCCGATAGCTTCCCCAGTGCCAGCTTCTCAATACAACTCCAAAAGAGTCTAAGTAAGCCCCAAGACCAAAGAAATCTAAGTAAACCCCAAGACCGGAAACCCTGAATCTTCGAGGACCCCGGAAATGGCCTCTGCAATCCCCGTGCATCCCAAGGACTTCAATCAACTTCAGGTGGGTAGTATTTTATTTGGGCATAGTACCCAATAATGGAGAATCAAATGGAAAAGAAAATGGAAAATCAAATGGAAACTAGGGTTATATTGGGGATATAGTATTTTATTTGGGGATACTATGGTACCCAATATAGAGTAAGATTATATCTTCCTTTTGAGGTATAGTAATTTATATAATGAACATAATCTTACTGGGTTTAACAACCAAAAACGCTACTCAGGTGGGGGTTTCCGTAACTTGCGGTACCATTTTGGGAGTCCCAACTACGGGATTGCAGAATGTGGTGTCTATATTGTTGTCTTTCGACAGAGGGAACAACCAGATGATCAAAAACATCCCCGGCATGCCTTGGGTATCCTTCACGCCGTTTGCAGCGTTTACGGTTAAAATCTAGTATGTGTGTGTAGAATTCGTTTTGAACAGAGATACCACAGAGCCAGTTTTAATTTGTTCATTGCCCTCTTGATCCTCATAAATCATCCAGGATTTCGCAAGCGTAATAGGGTTGAAGGTTCAGGGTCTTGGGGAAACTGTGACCTCAATAGCTGCCCCACAGTATAAGGTAGCCCATGTAGGCCACACACACAAAAAGTGCCAATCATTGTTGAGAATAATACCCTAAGCCCCTAAACCCTTAACCCCAGTGCCTGCATTGTGCGATGTGCGTGTCTAAACCCCAAATTCAAAGCCCAGAACCTCAAACCCCTAAAAGCCCAAGGGGAAATTAGTATAGACTTATGTTTAGGGTTTAGGGGCTTAAGTGCTTAATTCTGAAACCCAGGCGTTGGGCCTTCAGCAGCTGTCTGTTTGGGGCAATAGGCCAGTGACTCCCGTTGAGGGTTCAGGGTTATTCTCTTCCTAACAGATACAGCATGCTTGCAATGTTTTCGTGACGCCTATCTAGGACAGCGTTGAGGTATTTCGTCTTTAGCGTCCCAATCCCCTAAATAAACATGAAACTCCGCAGAAGCCTGTTTATAGCAGGACAGTAGTTTGCTATCAGTAGGGTGGGGGGTAGTCTTAGCGGAGAGGATTACAAAGGCTGCCGTAGTTGAGCGAAGACTACCTGCAGGCTATGGGCGGTTGACGCACAAGAGTACATCGCTACACCTCACCTCCCCATACCCCGACCCTGTTAAGAGTAGTCAGAAGGATACGAGTCTAGTCAGTAAAACGGTAGATAGTTTTGTACTGATGGCAAAAAACCACTACACCCCTGACTAGTATTGTGGTGTTTCAGGAAGCCTCGTTGATGCTGGGGTGCGGAAGCTCTTGTATTTTCAAGCTAGTAGCATAAGCCAAGAAAAAGCGAACATCACAAATTCTATGAGTGCTAAAGAGGCTGGAAGAAATTCCGAATCTGGACCGCTTTGGCAGAGTTTTATGTATTTTCGGCATTTGGGCGTCGCCGTCGACGTGCGATTGCCATGCCGATAGTATGCGGTCAGTGCTTCAAGCCTCAAGAACTTGATGGGCTCCCTGCCCCTATTGGGATAATGGAAAATAAAATGGAAACTACCGTAATATTGGGGTCCTTCAAGGGTTATATAGGGATAATGGAAAAATGGAACCGACTATCTACGGTTTCAAGAAGAGCTCAGGAACCTGGATGCGAATGCGAAATTGGGCTTTCTTGATGCACAGTTATGCTTCGGCAAGTTTTTGAAGGTTCCTCCGTTTGTAGTCCCTAAACCCTAAACCCTAAACCCCAAACCGCGTGTCCGTGTAGGCTCTAAGCCGCAGTCATGAAAATCCAAACTCCAACCCGGTGCGTAATTCCTACAGTAACCCCTGACCCAAACCCTGTACCATCATCCACACTCCCTAGACCCCACCTGGCCCACCTAATTATGAACCCGAAGTTGATCCCTAGACGACATACCTTGAAACCTAAACCGCAACAGCTTTACCATGAACCTTGTTTCCTGGGTTTAGGGTTTCGGGTTTAGGGTTTAGGGTTTAGGGCTCCCTGTGCCAACATCCTAAACAATGGTGTTGACTAAGCCGTGTTTCCCTTCATGGAGGTCCTAAATTCTTAATATAAAAATATTCAAAAAGGGATGACATTCTGTGTCCTAGGTTACTGGGGATCCTAGTACCCTAAATGCCCAAATCCTACACCCTAAGCCCTAAACCCCTAAATCCTAAACCCTATAAGCCCCAAAATCCTACACCTTACACCCTAAACCCTAAACCCTTAAGGACGTTGGGCAGAACAACCTTCGAGCTTTGCCTTCGCTCCTCCATGCGCCCGAGCTCACAGTTCTCAGGGCGTCCTTCAACCGCTTGCAGGAGATGCTTGGTTTTGGGTTTAGAGTTTAGAGTTTGGGGGTTTTAGGGTTTAGGGTTTAGGGTTTGGGGCTCAGGGTTTAGGGTTCAGGATTTTAGCTTTCAGGGCCTATATTCATAAAGCACGTCTAGTTGGTCAAACTGATGTTATCATGCACATCTTTAGCAGTTTTTTACTCGCAGTGACACTGGGCGTGCTGCTTTTCTTAGAACGTGCAGTCTGCTTTTAAATCGGTTCATGTAGGTTCCGTTTGTGGATGTTTCGGGCTGAACAGAGAGCATCTGGGGTGAGGTTTAGGCAGGGCTTTGGGTTTTGAGATCTGGGGTTTAGGGTTGAGGGAAGGCGTTTCTCACTGGAAGTTGCCCGAAAGAAGCAGTGTCATTTACCTATTGGTAAATTGTAGGGAATATGGGGACATATTCCATGGGGATTATATGGGGGTTTTGCGCACATGCATGCATACAGGAATACGTGCATACCTGCATACATGCATGCAGACATGCACACATGCACACATGTATACATGTATGTATGCATAGGTGCATACCTGCATACATGCAAACAAGCATGCCTGCTTACATGCGTACATGCAAATTTGCAAACATGCATACATGCACACATGCGTACATGTATACATGCATACGTGCATACATGCACACATGCATACATGCAAACTTGCATACACGCAAACATGCATGCACACATCCAAACATGCATACATGCAAGCAAACAAACATACATACACACATGCATACATACATACATACACACACATTGTGTGGTAGTAGCGAGAGACATTGAAACTTGCTTTTTCCGGAAGTATTTCATTTTCCTGAGTCTTAGGGCATTACCGCCCTAAGCCCTCGGCCTAAAGAAAGCCGGGCTGCGGCATTGCATTTGGCCCAGAAAATCTACAAATGAGAGTACCCTGAACCCTCAATTCTGGAATGGCCTTGTACCCGGAAAAAATCAGTAGCAATCCCTGAGGGTCCAAGTATTTCAGGGTGCCTAAAATCCCAATATTTGGGTACTTGGACCCTCAGGGAGCACTCACAGAGAGATCCTAGGCAAAATGGGAATCTACCGTTTTTGGCGCTTTAGGGTTGATGGTGCTTATTTGTCCTTAAGGGTTTGGGGTGTTTTCATGAGGTAATATTAGGGTAATACTTTGGGGTTATGTTGGGACAATATTTGGGTAATATTGTCAAATGAAGGAGGCGTATCAGTTGATAGCTAGAACTAATCACAAGAAATAACTATCATCCTTCCATGGTTGCAGAGAAGGCAGGGTTCTGTAGGATTTGGCTCGGGATGTGGAGGTTAGGGTTTGGGTGGTTGCCCTATGATTCGCGGCATGCTTTCGTTGCGTTGGCTTTACAAGGGGGGTACATTCAAGGGTGTGCGTCCGACCATTTTGTGGAAAGTCCCCGTCATCATTCAAATAACACTTTTGAAGCATGGCTTTGACAGCAACCCAGTTGCATCTAAACCCCGAACCTTGAACCTTAAATTTGAGTCCACATCCCTCAGCCCCAAACACTACACCAAGAATCGCAAACCTTTAACCCTGAACCGTTGCCGTGCCTGCACTCTGTNNTGTGCGATGCGCGTGTCTAAACCTTTACTGTATATTCCTAATGCATCTAACCCAGGCTTCCTCCAGTCAGCCCGCATGCGAAACTGGACATACTTCACGAGCACCGGTTGAGACAAATGCGTGGCAAGGGTCTGGGTTCAGATTGGCGGTGGAAAATCTTGCACCCATGAAAACTTGAATATGCTGCAGCTCCCCTCCCCCTCACACTAAAACCCCCTCACCCCCCCCCCCTCC